GAAGCATGAATACCCCACTCAGACACATTATACTGACTCCGAGCCGACCAGTCCTTGTTGTACCCATTAATGCCGAGCGCCAGGCAGGGACCAACAAGTACCATATTTTAACGTCTTTTGGTATGACGCGGTCGGGGATCGAACCCGCGACCTTCCGCTCTCCGGGAGGACGCTCTAACCACTACACCACGGAGGCGGTCGGCTGCAGAACAACATATTTATATGAAACGTGTATTTAGTTTATGAGTAAGTGAGTGAATATGGTTTGCGGTCCTGTCAGCAATATTCAAGCAATATCACGGCGGGGGACACGGGAAATGGGCTTCGGTGTGACGAGCGAACGCTTTAACCACTGGGCTATCCCACCGCCCCGTTTAGTTAATAATTCATGCATACAATTTTGTTTCAATGACTACACGTACATTATAAGGCATTCATTGTTGCTTACCTCAGCAATTGAACGTATGAATGAGTGAGAAATATAAGAAAACCATGAACAAATTCGCAACATACTGTTATACGGTAAAAATGCATTTTCTAGACAAGAAAAGTATAACAAAAACATTATTGAGAATTGCGGTTACTTCGTGATAAAATGGATATGGCTGCTTGGTAATAAATCAAGTGATACTGGACATAATAACTGGGGGTAACAGAAGGCAAAAGACTCTTGTAGTATTAGTTGACGGTGAATCATAGTATTTAAAGGGACTCTCCGAGCACGAGGTAAGGCATGAAACCATGGAATGACGTAACTTTGAACGAATCAGAAATGTCATATCGGGATAAGTGATAAGGGTGGAGCAGGCTCGAACACCTTAACAAGAAACCGTCCTCACTAGCACGGTGCGCGATCGTTGCAGTTACACATTTGATAAAGAGCCTGTCCTGTCCTGTCCAGTCGGAGTCATCTCGTACATGAAGAGAGGGACGAAGTATACCTGTGTGAGTATTGAGACTGGTGTTGAGTTATTCATTTTATGCCAGGGCGCCAGTACATGGATGCGATTGTTAGTTGGGTGTCCCGGTAGTCCGACCCCCTCACTCCTTGACTGAGCAACTCTCGACGGACCAAGCGAGTGTAGAGCCTGAGCTTATATCTCCCCTGACAATGTTCCATATTAAAGTACTGTCGGAAATAGAAAAAAACTGTTTTTAGGCTGTTGCTTTGTATCCCTAAAAGTTACACAACTGCAAATAGCATATGTCGATATAACCCAGTTCGGCCTAACAGGGCATTCAGTGGGGTGCGTAAGAGGATATCCAGAAAAGCATGTTTACTCGTAAAATCGGGGCAAAACTTAGAAAAATACGAATAGCTGCTGAAAACAATAGATCAGACTATAGATGGCAATTAGGTCAATTAGGTCGCTCAGCCAGGTATGACGACGGACCGTCGACTCACCTGGCTTGAAATGTATGTGCTGCCTACAGGCACAAGGGGTCATCTCAAAGATATTTTGTACTTTTTCATGTGTGTTGAATATGTCTCATCTATTGATTAACATCTTTCTTTCATAAAGTTTATGTTGAGGAAAGTATGTAAATGAGTATGATAACTGATAACCATAGAAAAGCATCGTATTAAATATCTCAAAATATATAGGTGGCATGAACACCTGAAGATCGACAGGACTGGATATTATTTGTAAATTGTTATAACATGCCGTGTACTTCCCCAGTATAAGTCTCCTAAAAGATTATCTTATCTTAGCTGATATCTCTATCCCCAAGCCCGACCCCAACCATCGTATGCGACACCCGCCCTGGGTTTACTTTTGAAATGGACCCTCCTACCTGTTTCTTTTTATAGTAACAGTGAGACTCCATGGTAGCTACATCCTTAATAGTTTCAGCATGAAAGTTATTATTTTGTACGTCAGCTATCGTTTATAATGAAGCTAAGTCTAATTTCAAGATGGGCATTTAAAAAGTGTCCTTTGAAATACAATATCATTGCACACTAATTTGCATAAAGCCATGGTCTGTTCCAAATAAGTCGCTTTGCTTATTTCTGCACTAATCTCTCCTCAGTAAAGTCCTTTTTCTACGTTTCCTATCTCTCTACCACTGAGACTGTAGTTAGGACTGAAGTCAGATATTTCACACTTTCACATATCAACTACATAAATAATTGTAGAGATAAATATGGAAACCCCCCACAGTATTCTTCTATTTCCGACAGTACTTTAGTAGGTAACTGCCGTTGGGTCAACTGACGCCGAATATACAGTTACGACAATAAGGCATAAGACTGTCTCAGAATCATTGATCTGTCCGTATATAGAGAATACTACACTCGGTCTCATAACATACGAATTATACGAAACTCGTGACCTTCCTATGGTTTCTGACCTCGCTTTCGCTCGGTCAGATACCATAAAAAGGACACTCGTTTCGTATAATTCGTTCGTCAAAAAAAAAGGTCACTCGTTTCGTATAATTCGTATGTTATGAGACAGTGTGGTATTTTATTTATTACCCACGTCTTACATGCTTTAAAGTGACAAAAGAGAGTATTTGTGTTATTTTTATGGTTTCAAACCGAAACCGGTTTCATAAAGAGGTTGCGGAAGAATGTTGTTCTGTAGTACACTTTTTGCATGACGTCACACTGTAATGACGTCACTACGGCTCGTGTGTCCCCTTGGTAACCGACGTCACGATGCATGTCAGTTGTCATCGCCTCGTACAGCCTCCTACATTAAACTACTCCGTAGCACCCCGTTTCATAGTTTGCAGTTGCTTCACTCGGATAACATCAATGGTGGAAACATTGCGTTTATGTTTTTCGACGCATATAATGTCTCAGTTCGACTCCCAATTCAACAGCGATACGGTAACGTTCGCAATGTTTACATTCCCACAATGCATTTAAGTTGTAGAATGAATGAATTCACGTGTTTGTTATGAACGAAAAAGAAGTTCCGTCACAACGTGACCTAATTGAGAGGTCATCGGTTATCCAATAAAATCGTTAGAATCTCAGGTCAAGTCCACACTCCGGCACAGCGATGACTTAACATAACATCACTGGCACAGGCTAATTTGCATATCACGTGACTGGACTTTTCTCTTGTTTGTAATCAAACGCGCATATTCATAATAAGAAGAGACTGGACTCACGAAAGCTTTTCGGCGCTCTCTTCATAATGTTTTACATTGTTACATATATATTCTTCCACAACTGCGAAAGTTAGGTCTATGACAGTACATATATAGATATCGAACTGGCTGCATCGTTTGCTCTCCATCAGCTTCGATGACAGCACGTGGAGCCGTACAACCTATGTAAACAAAGGATCGCTACGCAAATCGAAATAGTGTTACATGTTTTTGGATATTTTCGCAGTGAAACTAAACCATTCTATTAAAGATGTTTAGTTGGTTGTGTAGACTCGTCAAAAATAAAAGAGTAAAAGAAATTTATACATTATATTGAATTGACATTGCAAGATGTGACGAATCGTCACATTTTTCTGGCCTGTTGCAGAGGTACTATGCTGGCTTGCCGCATGGGACTCTGGGTAGGAGAGTGAGGTCAAGTCGTTACGACACAGGTCAACGCGATACGACACTCGTGTGGCGTACGAGATTAATATGCAACTACCCATACGTTGACCTCGTGGGCAATAAATCCATTTATCTCTCCATAAACACAATCATCTATACAAATAGGACGTCAGAACACCTTGGCATGGGTGGAAATAACTTTAAAATTGCTAGTGTACTCCGGTATAGTGAAACATGTAAAATCACTTGCCCTGATAAGTGTTCCACTATACCGGCCGTTTTCTTGTTGATTTTTTAAATAAACAACATTATTAACATTGGAAAGTCAATTGGACACCGTTACAGCATGATATACAAATTTGCTTGCCCGACAGAAAAAATCACTGGACTCGGACATCGGGCAATGGGTTATTTCCACCCCTGCTTGGTATAGTTGCCCTGCCGAGATAAATCTAGCAAGATGTTAAACGCGGCGTATAACCAGATTTAACTCCACACACACACACCAATCACCTATTTGTAGTCGAGGGATGAGTATATGGGAGTTGCGGTCTATCGGGCTCGCTCGGCTTGGTAAGTTTACTGCCTCATTGCTGGCAGAGGTGCCACACCAAGAGAGTAACCAAGCATTAAAGGTGCCTGTCATCAATCGGAATTATGTAATTTTCGGGGGAGGTGTGGTAGCCTTGAAGAGAAAGCGTTCGCCCGTTACACCGTAGGCAAGGGTTTGATTTTCCACACTGTTGATGTATTTCATGTTGCTGGAAAAATGCTTAAACCGTCGTAAAACCGAGTGAGTGAGTTTAGTTTCACGCCGCTTTTACCCCACCGCCCCGTAAAACCGCGTGAGCAGCTACACCGTGGTGCAAATGTTAAACCACGACCACACGTACAGAATGACGCCATACAACATACTCTTGAACACATTACAAGATTTATAATTAATATGGAGGTGTGAGTGAATGTTGTTTTTCGCCACTTTAATATTGTATTTCCGTTCAGGTTTTCACGGCATATCTACTTGCTGACTCATCGCTTATGGTACAGACCAACTAAGAATATATATTAATATAATGAATGGGGTTTTGGAGCACATCATCATGATATCATGGAACTCATCAGAGAATCAGCTCTGCACCATATGGCCAAGAAATCTGAACTAGACTGACTTTATAGGCATCACTGATGTTGTTAATAAAACAAAACTATGTCTATTCTCTTTAATTGATTGGAACTGAATCCGCCTATAACCATGTAGCCATGAGGATGAACACTTATGCTTCAACACAAAGATATTAAATATGTTAAATGTGACACAAAATACAAAATAGTATTCTAAATAAATAATATAAATAACAAAACCAAAACGTAGCATAAATGATTCACACAACCATGGCTAATCCTATTAACATGCATACAGGAAATATAGCCGCCACGTGGTTGGGGTTAAACACACACCACACATCAAATAATCAAATGATACTTACGACGACTCCTACAGCTAGGACCAAAGAAAAGTACAAGACAAGCACCACAATATCTATCCAGTTGAATGGGTTAGACATAATGCAGTGTTGTTTTCTATTCAGTGTATATGCACCAACACGCCATCTATTCCCCGTAGAATCGGCTACTTCGAAGCGTCCGTATCTTTGTCAAATACATATCTTTGTTGCTTGACATTGTAACATCTTGACCTATTCCAGGCTGCTTACAATGAGATTATATGTTTGTATCTATTAACCGGACGTTGTGTTCATATGTCGCCTTAGTGACCGTCAAATACTTAGCGAGAGATCAACGATAACAATAATACATGTATATACTTGTTTCTTTTTTTTTAATTTTGAAATAAATTAGCGCTTTGGTTTACTGTTTCTGTAGGACGTAAAGCAAAGGTGTGAATCATGTAATTTACAAGACTGTTCTGACCTGATTACTACATGATACTGTTAAGTTAAAAGGTTAAGTGTGAGTTGCAGTGTTGGCCTATAGATAACTTTGTATTAAGATTGTTCTGATAAAGACATATCTTGTGGACCTGGATACACAAAACAACTTGTACACATGAGTGTATGCAATTTTTAAAATTTTAGTCCAAATAGGCAATCATACCCATGCATATTAAAATCACATGCACGTGATATATTTCATAATTGCAGTATGTGCGCTACAGTTTTCTCAACTGATTAAAAGATGCAGTATTAAACATTAACTTTTCTTGAAATGGCACGATGTAGACTTACAGAAAATACACGGGAAAGCCACTGACATGCATGGCGATAACTAGAACATTAACCACACGGTTATAGTCGACCTGAGAAAAAGAACCTGGCCACGAGTGAAGTAATGCTTCGTCCAGGAACAGGAAGACCGACGACCACTGACCGTGATGACCGAGTTCTAATTTGTCTGGCAAGATACAATACCATGTCACCAACGGCCGTCGGGAACGTGTCTTCATGTCTTCAAGTTGCGGCTTTCTCCTAACATCAGAAGGAGGCTCAGTTCTTAGGCATGTGTCATTTGATTGTATCTTGTTCCTTCCTTACCGATGGGCATGCATGAGCACGTCTGGCGTGGTCCGGCTCCGAGAAAGCCGCAACTTGAAGACACGTTCCCGACGGCCGTTGTTGACGTCGTAACGAGGCGTATCGCCAGGTGATGATCCTTGCGTCTACACCCTTTGGCTCACTGATGATGTGGTGAGGGGTTTGTGTTTCGTATGACTGCATGTTGGACTTCATTCCAGTACCTGGGACACTCAATGGACAGAGTTGTGAACAGGAAGTACTACATAACGTCGCCATGCCACATTTTGTGTGAGTGAGTTAAGATTTTAAGTCACATCGGCAATATTTCAGCCATATCGTGACTAAATCCACATTTTGAAAATCATCCCCTTGCAAGGCCCCTGGCGCTGGTGGGTTCGCATACCGGATGGGAGTCAACCCCAAACTTCTAGAATCTATACTTATAGAGTACTGAGTGAAAACCACAAAACGAGGGGAGGATTTTGTTACATGTTACACGTAGCCACAATGATCTAAAGTTCGGTCGGTCGGTTGGTTTAGACCTGTCTTTAGAAACAAATTTTCTTTGGTATTCAGGAGAGATATATGGAACAAATTGTTTGTTGTCAAGTTGTCAAACCAGCTTATCTATATCTATACACCTCTGCTTGAAATAATATAACCATATATTATAATACCAACATCCTTATTTCTCCACACGTCACCGAATCCATAATCAAACAATAATGTTTTAACCTTTAATGTCCAACAACTCAAGCCCTTGTTTGCTGGAGACAGCTGGTAAGAATAAACTTTCTTAAGAATAACATTATCGTCTTGATACATATAGGTTATCACGCGAGTGTGTTTTGGGATGGTTAATATCCTGCATTAGGAATAATCATTGTATTTAGCGAGCCTTGGCGACGTGATATAATTTTCTCCTGATCACTCAGCTGACTGCGTTAGGTCATCTAGTTCCCAGTAAGCTTTTGTGCTGAAGCACGTATTGTTGTCAACAAATCTTAGCTTACGTTTAAGAATCTTCAGAAACCTGCAATTAACCGTTTGAACAGCAAACTACGCTTTAATGTTCGCGTGACATTGTGCACCTGGATTCCTATGCCGTTCTCTCGCAAACACTGACAGTCGGTCGGGGAACTGATGTTGGTATCTTCGTAAGCCTATGAATTTCTATCTTCGCTTTGTAATCTACTACATCTATCATAACCAGGCATGAATTTTCTTGGATCAAAGCACTGACAGTACCGTAACCACGGCCGTCAATCCGGACACGACTGCCGACCCTTGACGCCACGTTTGTTTACACTGTGAAAGACCCTGATATTTGCATATGACCTCTCTAATTTGCATCGATATCCGTATATGACCCCAACGGATACCGAAAATATCCGTTGGCTTTATCCTGCCGAGAACACTATCCATTGTATGATAAAATAGCCTTATCCAAAACTATATAATCTTCCCATAACAGTTTACTTCAATTGAATGCCGTCCTAACTCACCTCGTGTCACAATATTTGGTACAGATCTATTTAAATATATCACCTCCTTACATAAACGATCATCTACTCTTTCCACATCAGGCGATGGGTGAAAAACCAAATCTCAGAACCATAGACAAGAACTGGCAACATTTTGACATCAAATGTATGACATAACATATGAACTGGTAAGTTATGAAAATTATTGACTTTAGATTTTAAGCACCGAATGACCTTAGAAGCTTGGAGGCTAAAGTTTTCTGAGCGATATACCACGAGCTAGAAGTTGAGACTTATGTATAGGTAGGAATAATATTTATTATTCGACCTTTAAAAAAGGATTTTCCGTAAAGCTTAAGTCTGTCTTTCTTTCTCAACACAATGACTTTAATTTTATCTTAGTTAACCAACAGCTGCCATTTTTTAGCAATAACTTGATAACTTATCTAATCTCTTTTGAAGGCCTTTAACTGTACAGTCCATTATTACTGTATCATCTGCGAACAGAAGCATAAACACTTGCAGCATACCGATACTAGTAAACCATTGATCATCCTGCCCTAGATACTCAACTATGTCGTTGATAAAAAGTGAAAAGAGAAAAGGGAGACAACTGGCAACCTTGACGAACTCCAAAGCTGCAATAAAAGAACTGGGTACAACCTTCACAACAAAAACACAAACTTTTACATTTTCATACATATTTCCTATAAGTTTAAAAATGCGACCCTCAATATTGCCAATCCACAACTTCTATAAAAGTCATGTGAAACTGAGTCAAAGGCGAATTTTAAATCTAAGAAGCCACAGTACAGTATACCTATATGCAAAGACAAGTATTTAGTTATTATAGTGTCTAAGATAAATATATTATCTGTACTTTGAAAATCTTCCCGAATCTAGCCTGCTCTGGAGCTAAAGTATTTCCCCCGAGTGGTCTAGTTTGTTATCCCCCGCAACGCGTTTTGCGGGTGGATTAAAGTGCACTCCGTCCGTCCGTCCGCCCGTGCGTGCGTCCGTACACATTTGTCTTTTCCGGAGCAGAACCTTTAAACCGTTCAATGTTTCTTCACCAAACTTGGCATATAGATAAGTCTGGTGATGAACTGGTGCCTTTGGTAGTTTGGGATTTCTGATTATTATATTTTTTGCCTTTCCATTGCAGCAAGTTTGACTTTGACTGAAATTGGTGTTGGTGCTCTTTTCTGGATCAAAACTGTAAAACCGTTCACTATTTCTGTACCAAACGTCTGACATAGATAGATCTGGTGGTGAACTGAAGCCTTTTGGTAGTTTTGGATTTCTGAATAAAATATTTTTTGCTTCCATGCCAACAAGTTTGGCTTCAACTGATTTTGGTGGTAGTGCACCTTAAAACTTAAAAACCTTTCAATACTCTCCTTCCACTTTACCATATACACACCAAAATATTTGACATAACCATAACTAGTAGACATATTCATGAAGAGTATTTAGCCATTGCGGGGGATATTGATGACTTTGTCTTCTTCTTAACCTATTGCAAATAATCTTAGAGAATATCTTCCCCCACACTTCAAGAAGTGTAATTGGCCTCAATTACCTGGATCATTAGGATCAGCTTGTACCACCCTGTAGTAATCATGGCAATAAATAAAGCGATCCCTCATTCCGCTGTACCAAATGGTTCATATATGAATAAATCATTATTAATAAACCGTTTGGTAAGTGAAAACGGATGCATTGTATAGTCTTAGTCTCACAGGAGTGAAAAGAGTTATTCCCCTTTGACCAAATGAAATTTGTAGCTTGGTAATTACAGACCCCCGGCAATGTTCAAATAACTCAGATCCAACAGAGTGAGTGAGTGAGTGAGTGAGTGAGTGAGTGAGTGAGTGAGTGAGTGAGTGAGTGAGTGAGTGAGTGAGTGAGTGAGTTTTAGCAATATTCCAGCAATATCACGGCGGGGGACACCATAAACGGGCTTCACAAATTGTACCAATGTTGGGATCCAACATGAAAGTGAAAAGTAGCTATATTATAAGATGTCACATTTGTCAGAATGAATGCTTGGCTGGTGAAAGTACATGCTCAAAGTGAGCACCAATGAAGTCATAGCGAAGGTGTAATGATGGTGTATCATTTGTGAGCAACTCGTGTTGTTCCACGAGTAGCTACTCGTGCATTAAATACTACTACATTAAATCCCAAAGCAGATACTCAAAAATGACGTTAAATATTTCTCAAACTGAACATTCATATAATTTTGCTGCCAAACCCCTGGTGGAATGTTAAAATGAATACACTGAAAATATATGAATGACCCCCTAAAGTCTGACTGAAATATCCCCAGATATAACAGATATAATATTATTGTTTTGAAACTTGTGGCGATTTATAACTATAGTTCCTAAAAATATTGGAAAACGCACGTACAATTTCCGAAAGAAGCCCGCAAGATCGTCAGAAATACACTCAATTGGACATATGAGAGCTGTTATGTTACCAAACGCACGTGCGTCTATATAAATGTCTCACCTTCAATGCATGATTCTTATTAAACACTTCACATTAGGCAGCACAATTCTATTAGCTACGTTCTTTGTACTTTCACAATGACGATGTATATTTTTCGATATTTTTTTAAGATTGG